ATATTGGAGAAGCTTCCAATCAGAGACCTGCAGTCATTAATGATATTGTCGAAAATATGGTGAGAGGAAGCACAGTTAATCAGGTTAAGGACACTTTCAGAATCAACACAAACCAGTAGATTAGAGATGTTGAGTGAGCTGGCCAACAATAAACCATCCCTTATACCCCATAACTCAGCTTGCATACTGTTTGCATAAGGAATTCTTCTTGCACTTCCTCCAATCCACTTACCAAAATGATCTCTAATAACCGTACCTGCTCCCCCTTTACCATTAGAAGAGGAGCCATCCGAGTTTAAAATATACCAGCCCTGGTCAGGTGGTTTCCATCTAATGTTTCTAATAACCTTAAGGACATTATTAGGGGAAGATTTAGCAAGATGAAAGTATTGTAAAGCTTGAAAGGAAGAGGACTTAAAATTGTCCACATAATCAATCAATTTGCCAACAAAAATTCTGGAATTCCTAGCCTTCCAAATATTTCAACAACAATAAATAAAAAGAGAAGACTAAGGAATAGATTTCCAAACAAGAGAGGAAGAAAGACAACACCTTATCCAATCATGAAGCTCAATAAGAGAAAAGAAACCAGGAGGAAGACTGTCAAGGGAATTCCAAAGAGAAGAAGCAATAGGAGAATCACGCAGAATATGCAAAATATTCTCCTCACAATTGGGGCAAATATCACAACAAATTTCTTGACTAATTTGCCTATTATAGAGCATGGATTTGCAAGGAATACTATTGTGAGCCACAGTCCACAGAAAAAGTTTAATTCTATGATGACATTGCACTTTCCAAATTTTATTCCAAAAAGAAGAATCTTCATTAAAATCAGAACACAAAGCAAAATCATAGGCTGATTTAAGACAGAAATCACCATTAGAAGAAAATTTCCAACATAAAATGTCCCTGGAGTTGCCAAAAACTGGAACAGGAGTAGACACAATTTTATCAACAAAATCAGAAGGAAAACAGAAAGAGAATTGATCAAGATACCATCCCCCAGAAGGGGAAATACATTCCTTCACAGTTAAACAGTTTTCCTCTTTGTTTAGTGGACCATGGATGAGAGACCTAATCGGAACATCAAAAGCCCAATCATCAAACCAAAAGTTGGTATTGAGACCATTAGAAATAATCTTCTTACAACCTTTATCAAAAAGATCCTTACTTGCTCTAAGGGAGGAAGCAGTAGAGGAGACAGAAGCACCATTCACCTTCGTACTAAAAGGTATTTTGAGCAAAAAGCTCTAACCCAAAGACTATCCGGATTACTTTTAATTCTCCAATGAAGCTTAGCAAGCAGGGCTAAGTTCCTAAATTTAGCTTTCCTAAGATTAAGCCCCCCATACTTTTTACGCTGAGTAACTTTATCCCACCCCACCAAATGAATTTTATTGGAATCAACCATGTCGCCCCACAAAAAGTTCCTATGAAGTCTATCAATCTCAAGAGAGACCGAGGAAGGAAGGAGACCAACATGCATGGGATAATCAGCAATGGCCAAAGTGACAGATTGAATAAGAGTAGTTCTACCTGCAAGAGACAATCTTTTGGATTTCCAACCAAACAATCTATCACTGATTTTGTCAATAAGAAAAGAGAAATCATGTTCTTTACCAATTTTATCTAAAAGAGGATACCCCAAATAAAGACCCAGATTGTTAACCTTTCTAAATTTCAGAATTTGATTAAGGTAAATGGCCTTATCAACATCAACAGAGGGAGAAAACCAGACTTTAGTTTTATCAGCATTAACATTTTGACCAGACCTAGAGCAAAAAACATCAAGGGTGTCCTTAATAGCAAGACAATTTTTAACATCAGCCTTTTGCAACCAAAATGATATCATCAGCAAACAGCAAATGGGAAACCTGTGGACCATTTCTCCCTAACCAAATAGCATTCCAATCCTTGCTATCACATTTTTCCTCAATGACTAACGACATATATTCCATGTAAAGGATAAACAAGTATGGGGATATAGGATCCCCTTGTCTGACCCCTCTAGAGGCAGTAAAAGGCTTGGTGGCGGAACCATTTACAAGAACCGAGAGACTACGGTTAGAAATGCAGGACAGAATGAGTTTAACAAGATGATTAGGAAAATTGCAAAACTCCAACATATCCTTTATGAAATGCCATTCAAGCCTATCAAAGGCCTTTTCAAGGTCAATTTTAACAACCATCCAGCCCTCCTTAGCCTTACTATTCTTAGCAGTGTTCATAATTTCCTGAGCTAAAATGATATTATCAGAGGCTCTACGACCAGAAAGAAAGGCTCCTTGCAAAGGACTAATAAGATTTTGAAGGTGGCCCTTAATTCTACTAGCAATAATTTTAGTCACAAGCTTATAACAAGTATTACCAAGACTGATCTGCCTAACCTGCTTAATAGACTCAGGGCTAGACATCTTAGGGACAAGAGCAATTAAAAAATGTTTCCAACTATCTGGCATTACAGCCAGTCTCGAAAATGTTTTGAATTTCAGAACATAAATTGCCCTTGACAACATCCCAACACCACTGAAAAAAACCCGCATGAAGACCATCTGATCCAGGTGATTTAAAAGTTTTCATCCCCCAAAGAGCATTTTTGATCTCAGTGCAAGAAGGGATCATAATCATGGACTAGTGATCACCATTCTCAAGTTGAGGAAAATTCGAAAGTGGCCGGGTAGGGGACGACTCACAAGAAACAAAACCAGAACAGTAAAGCCCAGAGAAAAATGAAACAATATGATTAACACATCTTTCCCCTTCAAATTCATTATCGAAATCATCTTTCAACTTAATAATTCTATTTCTTTCCTCTTGACAAGAGTAAAAGAATGGAAAAAGGAAGTATTATTATCACCCTCAATAAGCCAAGAAATACGAGATTTCATTGCCCAAAGTGTCTCCTCCTGCCTAAGAATATCATAAAATTCTTTCCTAAGAACCTTATCAAGATCCAACAAAAATTGTGAAGGTTTCTCAGATATAGCCACTTGAACACCATGAATTCTAGCCAACAGCCTTTTTAAAAAAAAAAAAAATACATTACCAAAATGGTCACGATTCCAAATTTTGACATTATGGACAAAATCTTTAGTAGCATCAAACAAAGAATTCGGAAAAGCAACCCAAGAAGCATTGACCACAGAGAAAAAAGAAGGGTCCGATAGCCACATTGGTTGAAAATGAAAAGGTTTTTCTCCAACACTTGGAGCCAAGATTTCAGTAGAAAACAAAATAGGACAGTGGTCCGAGTTAACACAAATAAGATGAAAAAGAGTGGACTCAGGAATCATATTAATCCAAGCATTATTTATCCATGCCCTATCTATGCGCTCAAGAATATAAAAAGATACAGGATGCGAATTAGTCCAACTATGTTTGGGACCAACAAAACCAATGTCAATCATATAACAATGAGCAATGCAATCAGACAAAGAAGAAGAAGCGGAAAAGCGAACAGGTCTACCCCCTAATTTGTCCTCAGATTTAAGAACCTCATTAAAGTCACCAATCCATAACCAGGGCAAAGTAATATTCGAACTCAACACCTTTAGATAATGCCACAGAAGATTTCTACTAGCTCTATCAGTACTAGCATACACAGCAGTAACCACAAAAGTTTGAGAGCCACTAACCTGAAATTGAAGAGTGATTTCTTGTCGTGTCTGACTCACAAATTCAGCATCAACAGCCTCATTATCCCATAAGAGCCAGGATCAACCCAAGCTTTTTCATCATATCCGAGTTATGTTTACCCTTCAAAATTCAAATCCAAAACTGTTTGCCTAAAACATGGGTTTGCTGCACCCCGAGCATTATAGCTGAGGACTTTCATTGGGACATAAGTTGTGAAATCGTCCAGACCGGAGTGCGCTGCAAGCATGTTGAACCTCGCTCGTGAATAAGTCTGATTTTCTTCTGGAGTTATTTCGATTCTGTGCACCATTACCCCCCCTCCGAGCAGCGCAGAGAAACTGACGCAAACGGAGATGCTTTGGATCGCGGCTCCTTCCACGATCAGCACCTTGTACACGTCTCCCTGGATCTCCTGAACTACTGGTTCTTCGAGATCGTGGTGGAGTGAGACTCTCTTTGGCCTACCCATCTCGTCTAATCTGTCTATTGTATCCTTTTGGAGTTGATTCATCAAACCCCTTATGATTACCGCACTCCACTACTTTTTCCTATTGGAGCCTGAACATCACTCCTGATACGAATCTAGTTGTATTAGATTCAAATCTATCCTTGAGACCCGCCAAGAATCTACTTGAACTTCTTCAACTTCTAGACAAGTATGTCGACAACCTTCACAAAGCAAGCTCTCTTCGTTCGTCGGCCCTAAGTCTTCAATTAGACCTGCAATTGAACACCTAAGATCACAAGATTCACAAACAATTAAGCAATCACAACATAATTGTTTGCTAGGACTCTACAAGATTGAAGAACCCTAAGTTTGCTCAAACTAGAACAATGAAGCTAAGATAATCAATTTGGGAAAATAATCCTCAACTTTATTAATCAACTCAACTTATCTTTACAAGAGGGGGATTGACCCTTTATATAGTAGAGGGGTCGACACATATACCCCCTTAAACCTCCTCAAAGGCGGTTTACACATAAAAGAAGGAATAAGGAAATTACCTACACCTTGTCCTATTAGGAAAAGTAAATACATAACTAAATTAAGCAAGGATTGGACTTAGTCAAACAAGACCCAACCCAATGTCTTCTAGACTAAATAAATAACTAATCTAAGATAGAATAAAGACACAATTGGCCGAATTACACAATGATAAGATCAAGGCTCAACGATTTCAAGTAAAGTTCATAGCTTGGAATCGTTGGGAATATTCCTTGGCTTGATGTCTTCAATGCTCTCCAATTGATCTTCAATGGATTTCAAACCTTCAAGATGAGTTCGTACCAAGTCCAATAAAGTTTCCTTGAACCTTTTAGCCCGAGCCCTTGTCATAGGACCTAATGAAATGGCTAAAGGGTCAAATGGCCGGTTGTGCTCGGTCTTGTGCGATTGGCCCATGCCATGGCCGGTCATGTGCGATCCCTCCATGCAATGGCCGGTCTTGTACGATGGCATCCTCTCCATGCTCCTCCATGCTTCCTTTTAAACCGGGATCAACCATAGCAGCTTCTAGAATATCCGAGACATCTCCAAGTTTATCCAAGGTATGATCTCCATTAGCTCCATTGTGCTCTTCAAGACCATGATAAGCCCTTGGTGCATCATCCCCTCTCCCTTGAAAAGGATTTGTCCTCAAATCTACATCACTATCAAACAAGGATAAGTCTGAAACATTAAAAGTAGCACTTACATTGCCATATTCACTTAGAAGATCTAGCTTGTAGGCATTAATTGTTGTTGATCCTCTCCAAGACTAAGAATGGACCATCTCCACGAGGTAAGAGCTTATACTTTCTCTTTTCAGGGAACCTTTCCTTCCTTAGATGCAACCAAACCCAATCTCCAGGTTCAAAGATGATCTCTTTGCGCCCCTTGTTAGCAACCTTCATGTAGTGTTGTGTTTTCTTCTCAATTTGAGCTCGAACCCTAGCATGAAGTTCCCTAACAAAATCGCCCTTCCTTTGTCCATCCATGTCGACTTGCACACTCAAAGGTAAACTCAAGAAATCCAATGGGGTTAAAGGATTAAAGCCATACACAGTTTCAAAAGGTGAATATCCAGTAGTGCTATGTATGCTTTTATTGTATGCAAATTCAACATGAGGTAGACAATCCTCCCAAGTTCTTAAGTTCTTCTTAATTAATGCCCTAAGCAAGGTAGACAAAGTCCTATTAACTACTTCCTTTTGACCATCGGTTTGAGGATGACAAGTAGTTGAAAACAACAATTTAGTACCTAACTTAGCCAACAAAGTTCTCCAAAAGTGACTTAAGAACTCAGCATCGCTATCACTCACAATCGTCCTAGGCATTCCATGTAGTCTAACAATCTCTTTAAAGAACAAATTAGCTACATTAATGGCATCATCCGTTTTAGTGCATGCAGTGAAGTGTGCCATCTTAGAAAACCTATCAACAACCACAAAGATAGAATCTTTACCTCTCCTAGAACGAGGTAAACCTAACACAAAGTCCATACTAATATGAGTCCATGGTTCATGAGGAATAGGCAAAGGAGTATACAATCCATGAGGTTTAGATGTAGATTTAGCTTGTAAACATACAATGCAACTAGCAACATACTTTCCTACATCATGTCGCATCTTAGGCCAAAAGAAATGTTCATGCAATATGTCATATGTTCTATCAACTCCAAAGTGACCCATTAAACTTCCTTCATGCGATTCCCTCATGAGCAAGATGCGCAAAGAACAAGAAGACACACACAATCTAGATTCCTTAAACAAAAATCCATCATGCTTATAATACTTTCCAAATCCAGAATTTTCACATGCTTTAAAATTTTCACCAAAGTAAACATCACTAGCATAGAATTCCTTAATATACTGAAATCCAAGAAACTTAGAATCAAGCATGGAAAGTAAGACATACCTCCTTGATAAAGCATCGGCTACAACATTCTCCTTACCTTGTTTTATCGCACAACATAAGGAAAACTCTCTATAAACTCGCTCCACTTAGCATGTAGCTTGTTCAACTTTTGTTGGCTTCTTAAATACTTCAAGCTCTCATGATCCGTATGAATCACAAATTCCTTAGGCCATAGGTAGTGTTGCCAAGTTTGCAACGCCCTCACAAGAGCATACAACTCTTTGTCATAAGTTGGATAATTCAATGCAACCCCATTCAATTTCTCACTAAAATATGCGACGGGCTTCCCACTTTGCATCAAAACAGCTCCAATTCCAACCCCTGATGTATCACATTCAATCTCAAAAGTATTGTTAAAGTTAGGTAAAACAAGCAAAGGAGCATTAGTTAATTTTTCCTTCAAGGTCTCAAATGCTTCTTGTTGTTTTTTTCCCCCCTTGAATGGTGCATTCTTCTTCATCACACTAGTAATATGTGTGGCTAAGGTGCTAAAGTCCTTAACAAACCTCCTATAGAATCCGGCTAGTCCATGAAAAGATCTTACTTGACCAACGTTGGTGGGAGTTGGCCAATCTTTGATTGCCTTGATCTTCTCCTCATCAACCCCTATACCTTGCGATGACACCACAAAATCAAGAAAAACAAGCTTGTTTGTGCAAAAGGTGCACTTCTTAAGGTTAACATATAATTTCTCAACCCTAAGTACATCTAACACACATCTTAGATGCTTAACATGCTCATCTAGGTTTCGACTATACACAAGTATATCATCAAAATAAACAACAACAAACTTGCCAATAAAAGCTCTTAAAACATGATTCATTAATCGTATGAATGTACTAGGTGCATTAGTCAATCCAAAAGGCATAACTAACCAATCATACAACCCTAACTTAGTTTTAAAGGCAGTTTTCCATTCATCACCCTCTTTCATGCGAATTTGGTGATAGCCACTCTTTAAATCTTTGAAAATAAGCAAGCACCATGCAATTCATCAAGCATATCATCTAATCTAGGAATAGGGTGACGATAATTTACCGTGATGTTGTTTATTGCCCTACAATCAACACACATTCTCCAAGGCCCATCCTTCTTAGGAACAAGCAAAACAAGAACTGCACATGGAGAAAGGCTTTCACGCACAAACCCTTTTTGAAGTAGTTCACCAACTTGCTTCTCCAATTCCTTTGTTTCTTCAGGATTTGTCCTATAAGCTGGCTTATTAGGTATTTGCGCCCCAGGGATGAAGTCAATTTGATGTTCAATCCCCCTAATTGGTGGTAAACCATTAGGAATCTCCTCAGGAAACACATTTACATAATCACTCAAAAGAGAAACAATGTTGCTTGGAAGCTCTTTTTCCAAGTGGTTAGTGCTCACAAGTGTATATTTAAGCAAAAGTAAGATCAAAACAGAATTATCATTCAAAGCTTCTTTAATCTCACTCTTAGTAGCTAACATACACTCCTTATTAACTTTCTTAGAACTAGCATGCTTATCAACCAAATCAGATTTACTATCAACGCAATTCATACTAGTACTAACAAGCTTACCTTTTTCTTTAGTCCTAAATTCAGATTCCAATTTAGCAAATTCATCCCTCACTTTTATTTGATCTTTTAAAGCTTCTTGAGGTGATAAACGAATCAAAGTAATAGGACGCTTACCACACATAAAAGAATACTTATTTGTCTCACCATCATGATGGACCTTGTTGTCATATTGCCATGGTCGACCAAGTAAGACATGGTATGCTTGCATTGGTAGCACATCACATAGCACCTTATCATCGTATCTGCCCAAAGAAAGAGAAACTAAAACTTGTTTGTTAACCTTAATCTCCTCTCTATCATTGAACCATCCTAAACTATAGGGTTTAGGGTGTTTAGTGGTAGGTAACGCTAACTCCTTCACTAGGTACACACTAGCTATGTTTGTACAACTTCCTCCATCAATGATCACACTACTAGGCTTCCCATTAGCACATCCTAGTATGAAACAAATTCTCCCTTTGATTGTGCACATCTCCTTTAACATAGGCACTTAAAGTTCTCCTTGCAACTAAGTTCAAGAGTGCCGGTGTTGAACCATCATCATCCTCATCCTCATATGACAATCCCCTTTTATCATCTCCACTAGAACCTAATGGAAATTCTTCATCTTCACTAAAAATTTCCCCATAGTCATTAGTATACATAACCTTCTTGTTAACGCAATCCTTTGCATAATGACCATATCCTTGACACTTAAAGCATTTAACATGATTCTTAGAAGATGAACCCGATGAAGGCTTAGGATCGGTTTTAGGACTTGCTCCTTTTTGCGCCAACTCTTTCTCTTTGTTGGATGATTTCTCATCTTTCTTGATTGGAGTTTTCCATGAGCTTGATGATGATGCAAAGCTCTTATTTTTCCTCTTCACTTGGCTCTCAGCCTTCAATGCATGTTGAAGCAATTCCTCAACATCATAGTGTTGTTGCATCTCCACAATGTCATGAATTTCCCTATTCAACCCCGCCAAAAATCTTGCTATAGTGGCTCGTTGGAGCTTCATGAACTTCGACCCTAGACATCAACAACATCATCTCGGAGTAGTATTCATCAACACTCCTTGTTCCTTGCCTCAAAGATTACAATTCTTGGTAGAGACCATTAGTATAAAAGCTTGGAAGAAACCTCTTCCTCATAAAGCTCTTTAGCGCCAACCAAGTATCAATAGGTCTTTCCAAATTTCTTCTTCTTGCTTGCACTAGTTGATTTCACCGATTTAAAGCATTCTCTGTAAATTCAAGAGTAGCAATTTGCACCTTCTTTGGCTCGGCATGATGGTGATAATCAAAGTACATATCCAATTTCGACTCCCACTCCAAGTAATCGGATGGTGACCCTCTCCCATTGAATTTAGGGATTTTATACTTGATGTTGTCTTTAGGCTCTTCTCTTTCAACTCCCCCTCCTAGGCCGCATATTCTCATTGATTACTTGACCTCCAAGCTCTTCTTGCCTCAATCTCTCCATTGGATCCATCCGAGGAACAACTTGTCTTGGTGGAGGTTGAACTCTTTCATTGTTGTTTACGGCATTGGCTCCTTGTTGAGCTTGTTGATTTCGTTCTTGCCTTACTTGTTGGACATCATTGGCTAAAGCATCGAATTTAGTATCCATAGTGCCCAATCGTTGCATTAGGGTTTGCAACAGAGTAGCCAAATTGGCTTGATCTTGTTCTCCTTCCATGGTACCTACACAAAGAACAAAGATTAGTAGTAAAACTCCTCACAAGTGTGTGTGTGTTTATACCTTTGACTTGTACTCTCGTATTTGCACTCAATTCCTATGGATTGGCGGTCCACTACTCTCTTGATGATCTCATAAGATTATGCCTTTTACTAGCTTTCAATAGGCCTAATAAGAGCAACTCCTAGAGACCCCTTTCTTCTCGTGACCTACTTGAGGAACAAACAATTAGTAGAAAATTTTTTTTGTGAATCAAAAGAAAGTGATCTTAAAACCAAAACCAATCTTCACAACTTTCTGGTGTAACCCGCGCCTGGGCAAGGGTGACCCGCACCTGGGTAAGCCTTCAAAGCCCTAGTACCACTTAAATCCAATAGGCCTGAAATTCTTCAAATTAAATCACAATTCACAGCATAAGCAACCCAAGAATCTCAATCACACAATCAATTAGGGCTAATTGCAACCAATTGAATCAATTGCACAATGAAAACCCTAATCTCCCAAAATTCCCAAACAAAAACCCTAGTTAATGTCGAAAATAGATAACACCACAGATTTTTTTATTTATTTTTTATTTTTTTCAATATTTTTCCCAGAAAGATCACACTAAAAGAAGTCTAAAGCTCAAATTTCACAGCTTTCCGAGTTCAAACGAATCCGGGACAAAAATCACAAGTTTCTGGTCGAATTTTTTTTTTGATATTTTTCGATATAACCACTAGTTATAAGGAACTCAAATCTGAAATTTCAAAGCAAACAGAGTTAAGATGAATCGGCTATGAATTTTCAAAGTTTCTGAATTTTTGGATTTTTCATGAAGGTGGTGCGATGAGTGGGTAGTTGAATTTTGATGGATGAAAACTTGATGAATGATGAATAGAAGGATAGATTTACCGATTGAAGCTAACAACCTATGCTCTGATTACCAATTAATATGAATCTAGTTGTATTAGATTCAAATCTATCCTTGAGACCCGCCAAGAATCTACTTAAACTTCTTCAACTTCTAGACAAGTATGTCGACAACCTTCACAAAGCAAGCTCTCTTCGTTCGTCGGCCCTAAGTCTTCAATTAGACCTGGAATTGAACACCTAAGATCACAAGATTCACAACCAATTAAGCAATCACAACCTAATTGTTTGCTAGGACTCTACAAGATTGAAGAACCCTAAGTTTGCTCAAACTAGAACAATGAAGCTAAGATAATCAATTTGGGAAAATAATCATCAACTTTATTAATCAACTCAACTTATCTTTACAAGAGGGGGATAGACCCTTTATATAGTAGAGGGGTCGACGCATATACCCCCTTAAACCTCCTCAAGGAAGGAACAAGGAAATTACCTACACCTTGTCCTACTAGGAAAAGTAAATACATAACTAAATTAAGCAAGAATTGGACTTAGTCAAACAAGGCCCAACACAATGTCTTCTAGACTAGATAAATAACTAATCTAAGATAGAATAAAGGCCCAATTGGCCGAATTACACAATGATAAGATAAAGACTCAACGATTTCAAGTAAAGTGCATAGCTTGGAATCGTTGGGAATATTCCTTGGCTTGATGTCTTCAATGCTCTCCAATTGATCTTCAATGGACTTCAAACCTTCAAGATGAGTTCGTACCAAGCCCAATAAACCTTCCTTGAACCTTTTAGCCCGAGCCCTTGTCATAGGACCTAATGGAATGGCTAAAGGGTCAAATGGCCGGTTGAGCCCGGTCTTGTGCGATTGGCCCATGCCATAGCCGGTCATGTACGATCCCTCCATGCAATGGCCGGTCTTGTGCGATTGGCCCATGCCATGGCCGGTCATGCGATGGCATCCTCTCCATGCTCCTCCATGCTTCCTTTTAAACCGGGATCAACCATAGCAGCTTCTTGAATATCCGAGACATCTCCAAGTTTATCCAAGGTATGATCTCCATTAGCTCCATTGTGCTCTTCAAGACCATGATAAGCCCTTGGCGCTTCATCTTCTTCCGGTTCCATCACAAACTCCTTGAAATCGAGCCAGTTCATCAGATTCTGAGCATGTTCTCTCGAGAGATAGTTGACTCTCCCTATGAAAATCATACAAATTTCCTTCACAATTTCTTCTAGCACTGTCCCTTGAGGAAGCTTGTTCGGGTATTGAATCCCCACCATCATTTCCAGGATCCTCACTGTCCACCGGATTCGGCCCGTGATAATGTTGAAGTTGAAAAACGGCGACTGAGGCGGTAGATCCATTATCAGGTAACGACGGCTGGGGATAGGGGTTTCGGGTTTGGGAAGAATGAGATGGGGAAAGATGATGCTCTAAAACCCTAGCCTTGCCTTTTAAATGGTAGGCTAAATTATTTGGGTTAACCGGCCTATTATCAACATGAGCATAATCAGCTTGGGCCTTGTTGTCTATAGGGCCACTGCTTTGCCCAACTTCAAAATGGGATTATTTGATAAAATCAGATTTCTCCCCTTCCAAGAAATTCCCTTTCACGCGCCATTCTCTCCTTACAGGTGCTCTGCTTTTAGATTTTGAAGCTTTTCTTATATTACCTTTCCTAAAAAAAGATCTGCCTCTATCTTTAACAGCATGCATCTTCTTTTTGTCCTTTCTAATTACCACCCAAGGGCCAAATTTCGATACGGCATGCACGTCCGTTTCACTACCCTCCAAAGTAGAAGAATTTGGACAGGAATCATTCTTATGACCAACGAACCCACAATGGAAGCAAAACTTGATATCTTCATACTGGATATGCTGAACCCACTTCACAATCTTGAATTTTTGCCTGAGCGGTTTTGTTAGATCAACCTGAAGACATAATCTAGCAAAACGACCTTTGCTACCATCATTTGTATGGAAATCAACTTTAAGTAATTTACCAAGGGCCGAACCAACCTTAGAGATAAAGGGCTTATCATAGTATTCATAAGGAAGATTAGGAAGCCTTACCCAAACTATTGACCAACGATGTTCATCCCACAAAAATGGATTAAAATTAGCCTTCCATTTCCGTACAAAAACACATTTGGCTCCCATGAACCATGGTCCTCCCTGCAGGATTTTGAGATGATCATCCCGACACTCCAACCTTACCAAAAAACATCCCCCATCAATGTCAATCAACTGTAATTTTCCTGTAGGTTTCCAAAGGACCTTAAGCCTCTCATTAACTATGTTGAGAGGGAGAGGGCGGCCTGTCACTTTTATAAGAACAGAGTTATTCCATGGTGCTCTCATCCTCTGTTTTTCCTCTCTAGAAGGAGTGATGCAGAGAATATCATCCTCATCTTCGTCCTCATCATTCGAGACCTCTTGGGCTGCAAAGGACTCGTTTTGGATAGGAAGGAAGGTCTGCAACGCTTGTTTGTAAGAAAGAGTAGGAGAAGGTAACTCTCGGGAGGGAAGAGGACTTTCTGTTTCCCTGCAAGGAGAAGGATTCCTAAGCAGGGAATCCAAAAGGTTAGCTTCTGCCATAGCTAGATAGGTGCAGACAAGTTAGAGAGAAGTATGGGGAAATTTTCTAGAGAGAGAGCCATGATTTTCTTTAGTGGCAAGTTGGTATTACATATATATATATATATATATATATATATATATATATTTGGAAAATTTCATGATAGACCAAAATACATAAGGGAATGAATTTTGTATTACATGATATGTAAAGTTCGGATTGTGCAATCAAAATCATATATGTATATAAAAATATAACCCCCCATGACATATGTATACTTAAAACTTGTCATAAGTTCCGTGTATATAGTTCGATCCCTAATAGGCTAAAAAAAATTGTCACAAGTAATCTTAAGCTTAATTTGATAAGCAATTTTTAATAATATGTTAATCCAAAAACAAAGTTATGTGTATATATAGTATATTGAAAGTAATCATGGGATATTAATTTTAAAATCACTAAAATCAATAAAAAGAAAGGCCTTGGGAAAAGGGCTATATTTGTGTATTGAAATAAAAATGAGTACCCACAAATGAATTTATTAAAAAAAGTAAAAGAAGAAGAAGTCATGGAGAAGTGTGTTTTGAGATCCCACAATTAGAAGAAGAGAATGGGGTGGTGAAGTGGTGATATGTGGATTTGTAATGGAAGGAAGGCATAACCAAGTAAGACAAACATAGCAACTGATTTTTTTTTTCTCAGACACTTTCCCACTTGCAAAATAGAACCACTCACATAAAAACATGCAAACAAATACATTAGATTCGACAAAATGCTTTGAGTAGTAGTCTTGGGCTTTTTATATTTAGTACCAATTACTAAATTAATTATTATACTATTTGCTAATCATGTTTTGTTTGTTTTTATGGTTCACTACGAAAACCCAATAATTTCCAATGATTTTCTTAATGCAAGTGTTAGTGAAGAAAAATAAAATAATAATTAAGCATTTTTGGTGATGTTGAAGGCAGAAGTCAAATAAGCATCATCCCCTAGAATTACAATTAGCTTTGAGCCCACAAATTTGAAGAGAGAAATCCCATCATTGTTTGGATTCATCTGGGACTTCCATATTCCTTTTCCATCTTATTATATACTCCGTATCTTACTATGTACCGTATTTCATTATTATTTCGTAATCATAATGTTTTATGAAATATATATGTATATACTCTCAAAAACAATTTACTAATTAGACAAAGAAAGAAGAAACTATATAATTTTGACAAAATAATGTTATGTTTGTGTCAATATTGTTATTCTTTCGCCACCCCCACCACCCGTTTTTTGTTGTGATGCATGTTGACATCTTATTCCTTCGTACATGCATATTTCCCCCCCCCCCCCCCCACCCCCAAATCTCTTTGAGAGTTTATGTGAATAAAAACTTAATGACAACACGAGGCGTACCAGTCAATTTGTTGAAATTGACAAAGAATTGCATAAATGTAAAGCTAGTGCGCGTAACAACAGATTAAAGATCAGAACGAATGAATTGCGGGAACTGGATCAAAGTCACACCAAAACATTTAAATCATCGATCCCAGACAAGTTTCTCAACAATGAGTGTTTCAAAGGTTGTTCTTATTGAAAAGAGAGAAAAAAATAACAAATTGATTGTTATTTCTGAAATTGTAATGGATTACAAGTGTTTTAACGTCCGGAGACAAGATTGAAAGAGGAAAAAACTCATAGAGAGTGTGTTTATGTCCGGAGACAAGATTGAAAGAGAGAAATATTGAAAAACGAGTATGAACTCGTGATGAACAAGAGGAAATCGCAGAGATTTCAGCAGGATGTTTGCAGAGAAAATTGAGAGAAAAGCGCGGAGCAGGTTTGTAGCATGTTGAAGCGTAGCACTAGGGTTGATCCCTTTATATAGGGGGCGGCATGGGCTTTCTGGCTTAATGGGCCTGCCAGTTTTTGACTCAAATTCAACCACTTCAGGTTATGACTGCTTCAAATAAGGAGACAACTTCATTCTTTCAAGAAATTGTAAGGAAAACACCATGACCATTGAACTAGCCCTGGGACGCCACACATCTTCTAGAATTCACGTTGAGTCCTCTTCAGTATGCAATTTTCGAAATCCTCACCTCCCTGGCGCAATTTAGCATACCCTGCTGCCTCCTCCAAGCTTGAATCAACTAATATGACTAGGAGATTGCTCCTGAATGTCAAGATTTGGACTCTTAACACCTAAGCCACGAAATCCACCATACTTAATCATATTAAGCTCATGGTTTCATAAAAATAACATCAATTTTGAAAAATGGACAAAACCAGGGTGGAAAGGCCACATGTCCTTAATTGAATAGCTTGTAAAAGTTATGATCAAAACATGAAATGGCTCAAATTTGACACTTAGCCTTAAAATCATGCAATAAGAGTATTCCAACTCACTTGGCATGAAATTTAGGCTCAGATCACCTTAAAATGATAACCTGCCCTTAATTGAAAATCAAGACAAAGTTTTTCCAACTATGTCAGATTGAGATGAAATTTTGCCAGAATGATCGACATAGCTCAAGGATCATCATGGTATGCTCCATGTTGAAATCGCACCTCTCCTCCTCAGTCAATTTCATCAATTTCGATGCTTCATCCTTAATTGAACAAAATATAAAAGTTGTGAGTTTTGAAACCCCACGCCTCTCTTGCGTAGATAGATAAATTGTTTGTTGACAAACATTGACTCGCTGACTCCTTAAATGTAGGGAATAAGGAGACAACTTCCTAAAAACAGGGCGGCGCCTCCTGGGACACAGGATACGGCTTGTGTATGTTAATTTAGGCCTATGAGACGTCTCCTTATTTGATTATAAGGTGGCATGTCATCAAACTCTTTATTTCTTAATTTCTGCTGCACTTGTTGACAACTTCATTAAAAGGAGTCGTCTTCTAATGATTTTTTTGTCACTTCCTTATGGGCGGCACATATTTATTAAAAATATTTATTCTAAAAATAATAATAATTTATTTATTAATTTTTCGGCATTAATAATAAAAATATAATTATAAAAATATAAGAATTTCTTAATTCAATTGAATCCGGTTGGTGCATAAACCATGTTTCATCAGGATTTGCGATCAAATCCTGACCACACATCTTGATAACATTTATGCAAAAACCAATTTACCCTAAATACAAAACTGAGGTATAAACACATACATACATACTAGCAATATACCCTTGCGTTGTGCAGGTCTTGTTTATATTTTTATTCATTTAATTATTTGAAAATGATAAATTTTTATAGTTATTATTCCTTAAAAATTATTCATATTTTTATACTATATTTATTTATATTTTAGAAAGAATTTGCATAGCATTTTTCTTTGAAAATGGTAAGCAAAATGAAATTACCCACCTAGCCCGAGAAAATGTAATATAATGTAACCCTAAAATTAATCTAATTCATATTTATCTAAAAAAAATCTAATAAACTATAAAAGGTGATTATTATCTCATTCATAAACTTTTAAAATATATTAACTATTCAAATACCTATTGGGATCTTGTAAATGGGGGTTTGATCGTAGCTTATTTGTTTTGTCTGACCTGCTCTACTTTTTCGTTTTTTGTCTCGATGTGCTAGACTAATTGGTTGATGAGTCCAGTCCTACTCTTTGTTTTCTTGCACTCTTTCGTGCTTTTTCTTTAATAAATTAATTCCTTTTCTAAAAAAAAGCTATTGTCCTTTTTTTTTTGGAGGAGACACAAAACAGACGGATAACATATATTATTGAAAAGAGTTAGGAAAGTAAAGTGCAGAAAAGAATATCAATGTCAAATTGAAATTAACAATTTAAACAAACAAATTACTTTACTCATTACTATATATATTTTTTTCCCAAAAGCAAATTGCCTTATTATTAGACTTAGTTTGGGATGGAGATTGTTTTTTTGAAAAAGTTTGATTTGGAAAAAGTGCTTTTGAAAAGTATTTTTTAAAATTGGGGTAAAAAAATATAATTAATGTTTGGCATTGTGATAGAAAAATATTGTACAAAGATAAAATGTCTAAAAGGGTAGTTTTAATGATCAAAAATACTTTTGAAACGCAGAAGCACCTAGAGTTTAGTTTTGTTTTATTATTAAAGGTCAAAGTTAGAAAACTTTGACCCAAAAGGGACAGATTGTTGAAGAATAATAAAGGCAAAAATAGTTGTTGGATAGTTAATGCAGTATCAAGTTACTAAGCATTTTCAAATCCGCACCTCATTACCTTAATTAATCTAGCTGTTCGTCATCATTTTCTCTCTCTTGTAAATGCAACTAGCTGTTAGAGTTCATCTATATAAGAACTCTATCTTTGTAATACAACTCATAAGAAAGAAATGATTGCCGAACCACTTAAATCTTTGTGTCGTCTTCTTCTTCTTCTTCTCTTCTTGTCATTTTATCAAACATCTTTGCTGCAACATTTTTTTATCTACAAACAACAACATGGCATCGGAGCTGGTTAACCAAAATTCAAACCTCAGACTCACTACTATTCTTCTCTCGGGAAGCAATTACATCACCTAGTCAAGAGCTGCAACATTGGCTCTTTGAGGTCAATCCAAACTTGGATTCACCACTGGAAAAAAGGCTCCACCAGATGATGATGATGAAAAATATGAGGAATGGCTATGCCAAGATCAACAAGTCATGTCCTTACTGCTCAATTCAATGGAGCCAAATCTTGCTGAAGTTTTCGCCTTCAAGGAGACCTCAAAGGAATTGTGGGATGCTGTCAAAAAGATGTACAGACAACAGAAAAACCTATCAAGAGTCTACCAGCTAAAAAGGGAGATTTCAGAAACCAAACAAGGTGACAAATCCTACTTGGAGTACCTTGCAACCCTGAAGGGAAAGTGGGATGAGCTGAATCAGTATAGGCCACCCACCAATGATCCTGCGATCATTCAACAAAGAGCTGATGAAGACAATGTCATGCAGCTTCTGGCAAACCTAAAACCAGAATATGATTCCATCAGATCGTAGATTCTCATGAAAGACAAACTGCCTTCCATC